GCATGCAATTGCTTTTACAAGTGATTTCCTATTTTATTTCATGCAATTACTCCATTTTTGCGAAAAAATACCACACATATCCTTTATGAGAGCCAGCAGGAAAGTTGATAGGCATCAACCAACTCCAAACAGACACAACTTAGTATCATGTGAGTAGCTGAGAAAACTGAAGCCCTTTAGAATGAGTTTATTCGACCAAGCATTGAGCCGGCCTCCATTGACTCATTTTGTGTCATACTCGGCTACAAGAGAGATAAGCTGACCTCAACGAGACGGACTATACCGCTGGGTTCCTCCAGATTCGTTTGCTACCCAATCACCTTTTAAGAGCCATGTCAAACGCGGGGTGAACTTTTTCCCTTCCTTGGCAAAGTACGGCATCTCATGAGTTCAGAACGGAGATATTCGTGATATTGACTGAGTTTGGAATTTAACTCTCGCGTATTTGAAGCCGAATTGCAAATGTACCAGCTTTACAATCGAACAGACAGTTGTCAAAAGTTGTAATTCTACAAATGGAAATAACGTGTATTGTTAAATAATCCATTGGTCGTCTTGATCACTACTCATATGGACTATAGTATTATCGGCAAAATAAAGAACAAATGCAAGTTTGCCTAAAAAATTCGCATCTGACCTGTGCCTCACCTGCATTCGGACTGACCTGCTTTTTAATCCCACTCAATGAGAGGATGAGGCTCATATGGGGTCAGAACTGATGAGATGAACTTTTCGGAGGCAACACCAAGACCTTTATCTCATATAATTGTGAATAGCCCAGACATTAAGCCCTCCACCATCAAAATCCATCTAAGGAGGCCATCGATTTGTGAATACTACTCGTTTTTCCAGAGAAATCGAGTCTCTTCGCAACAATTAAAAATATTATTTTCAAATACTCTCATTTACATTGCGTGTGAAACTGTACAATGAAGAGATTCGAGGGTTGACTTCTTCAGAAGACTTACTGGAACATTCTTGCCGAAGGTGTCCTTAAAGCAATCTCCTTTGATCCGTATCGCATGATGGGCATGCTCAGAGAGGGGTATATATATATATATATATACATACAATTCATACACTTAAGTTGTGTCCGCATCTCGATTTATATGTAAATGCTTTGCCTTTTCTTGAAATAATTGTCCGCTTGGTTACCTCTGGCTGGCTTTCTTACTGCATATATCATCATGTAGGCACAGCAACCATTTATAAGACAACTTGTCCACTGCCAACGTTGTCATATCCCTTTCAATCATCAGAACGTTGACTGGGTACATTCCCGGACGTTTTATCGTCATCGTAGTAGGCAGCATCAGTGAGCAGCACTTGAATCAGCTCAGAGTTAGTTGAAATTTCGGTGAGTTATCTCTCGGCACTGGGAATTTACTAAAGCGTTTTAGAATGAGCCCAATCAACGAGTGAGTTGCGAAAACAAGGTTAAAATTAATGCTATGCTTTTAGAAAGTCCTTGTTGTGTGCAGGAGAATGAAGACAGGCACTCGTTGCCACCAAATTATGGAAGAATGCTCCTCAACCAATGATCAGAGATCGATTAACATCTCACAGGAGTCTAATTACCAACATTGGAGCAGTCAAAATACAGTTTTGCTTCCTCAATCTAGACACTTTTCCATAATCCTCGTCAGCTAGCGAGGCCCCCATAGTCCGAATAAATAGATCCACCTGAGATTGCCTTAAGATTGGTTCCAGCGCGAGTTTATGCCTATCACAAGATTCATACCAGCACACCCCAGGGTGCTTGGGTGATCCAGAGTTCTGTTGAGATCCTCGAATAAAACGCCTCAGTGCTCAAAATCAGAAGTTGTGATTATTCTGAAAAAGTGTGAAACCTAGACACTTTGCTGATTGATAACTTAAGTCACTCTAGATCTCACTATCCGAGTTCGAGTTCGGCTTGATGTGCTGATGGGACCTGGCAAGGCCGAAATTGCAGTCCACTTCAGCTTGGATGAGAATAACATTTTGGATGTAAGGCCATGCGAAATTCAATGGAAAAGTGTTGCCTATTCGTATAGTTGTTTGAAAATTAAACTCCTAGTCCTTCGTCAATTTAAACGAAATACTGTGAAGACAGTTCTTATTCAAGATCTAATGAGTGTCTAGAAACGCTGGAGTTAAACTAAAACAAAAAAAGGAAATAAAGGTGGCCCAGTGCAATTAAACGTGCTTCTTATACTTAACATTGCGATCCTAATGATGCATCCCGTGATTGTGTTTGCTCCTTCTTGCCTCATTTGTTGGTTTATTGTATTTGGTGGGTTTTATGTTGAGTATGACTTTTTGTTCGGACGATGTATGTGACATGATAGACTCAAGCTTAGCTTGGTATTCATATCTTTGATATAACACTTTAAGTTAGACAAATTAAAATCGTAGAGAAAATGTTATTCCTTGAGTCGAATGATGCCCTCAATTCGTTTAAAACATGAATTTATCTTTTACTTGCTTCATTCCATGACACTCTTAGGTCATAATAAACGATATGCTAAGATCCTAGGCAGTAGCGAATACTCGGACAGTTAATGAGCTCTTCTGTGAGAGTTGCGCTATTCTTATGACACCAGAAGCACCCCCCTCCCCACACACACAATTCATTTTTAGGTAAACTTTATTGGTACCAATGGTGGTAAGAAAGGAAGTGATATTTTGGCTAAGGAGCCACTTCACATCACACTTGTATCCCGTCATACAGACTCATGTATATAGTCATCTGAGTGGAGCCAGAAATTGACCTAAACTAGTCCTAGTTCACTTACTACGTCTGTTGAATCCGTGTCATGGCATCAGATTACATTAATCCACTTAGTTTGATTTCTTAGTAAGAAATCGCTTTTAGTGACCTTTTCGAGATTACCCAAAAGATTGTGCTAGAATTTCCACCCACACGGTTTGCAGTTGAACGTAGACTTCCCTACTATACCATTGTCCACTTGGCTCATTATCCTCATATCCAAGATAGAATAGAAGTGAAGTGACCTATCCCCACATTTTTCCCATTCTGTGTTTAGTTTGTGTTACATCCCATACGCAACCATGGCTTAACCTTGTTTGGAGCAGAGATCAAGGAAATGTGTGACTAATCTTCACTCTATTTCGCGTTGTTCGATCAAAGCCTGGCACCGCATCGTCCAATCGTAAGGGTATATCAAGTAGCTAACATTCTGTTTAAATCGGTCACGTTATTTTCCTTCTCTCTTTCCACTCCGCTGTGGCCCGCAGAGTTTATGCTATTCTATTCGGCGCAAAATTCAAATTATTATCTTTTTATTGTCAGCTCCCTCATATCGTATTCGGCCGTTTCAAAATAGGACAATTGGTAATACTATGTGTTCCTTTTCTCTCCTTATTTCGGGGCCTCCATCTTTGGAGTTGTAGAGGGCAAGTGTTTTATATTTTAGAGACAGTCCACGTCCGTCTTAGGAACACAACAGAAGCTTATAATGGAGTGGTTTACATGTCCGAATCACGCTTGTGGAGATTAATTATCTCCTATTTTTATATATTATCTCATAATTAGTGTGCTTTCTTTAATTCTTAATATAGTTGTGAAATTAGAGCCTCTTGACCGAGAACTCCATTAATTGTTCGAGATCAAGCAGACCCATTTATAAGGAGATGTTGATAAATAAGTTAAGAGTTTAGCATGAATTTTCCGGGATTGAAGAAGAGAGCCAAATACATTTTTATTCAAAAAGCTCATCATTCTAAATACTAGGACAACATTATACGAGACTTAATGAAGCAATCATAAATATGAAGAAATAAACGCAGACATGAAGGCCAAGATAGGATGGTCTCTGTTTTAGTCGCAGTCTGATTTCCATGTATAGAAGGGGTCTGACCTCGATTTTGGCAACTTAGTAGTGCTGTCATGGCGACCTTATCCGACGTCCTCTGCTATAAGAGTTATGAACATTCCCAGCATTTGACCATGGATTTGGTTCATTTCCAGACATTGCACCGGCATCGTCAGTGCGTCTTGCCAGTCTCAGCACCAAACTACAGGTCGTCAAAGATACAAGTGAAATCAATACAACTTTCTGCCGAGGCTGCTATGCTATCACTCCTATTTCTGTCCTGACCCAAATCTACTCCATACTCACTTATCTCACTCCCGTCCAACCACAACTTCTCCACACTTTCCCAAGGGTGTGTCCTTTTGGGAGAGTTAAACGTGGCGTCATCACACCTGCTATCTACCTTGCCTTGATTTCAATGGAAGCGTCAGTTCTATTCATATCATTGTGGAAAATTTACCTAC